TTATGTGCTTTTTCGTAAAATTCAAGTGCTTTCGAGTAGTCACCCATATTGTTATACACTGCACCGATGTTGTTGTAGGATTGAGCCAAATCGGGATGAGTAGAAGGTAGAGCTTTTTCTCTTATTTTAAGTGTTTTTTCGTAAAATTCAAGTGCTTTCGAGTAGTCACCCATGGCGTTATACACTTGACCGATGTTTTTGTAGGAAATAGCCAAATCGGGATGAGTCGGAGGCAGAGCTATTTTCGTTATCTCGAGATCCTTTTCGTAAAATTCAAGTGCTTTCGAGTAGTCACCCATGTCGTTATACACTTGACCGATATTGTTGTAGGAAGAAACCAATGAAGGATGATCTTCTGGTAGAGTTTTTCGTTTAATTTTGAGAGACATTTCATAAAATGAAGCTGCTTCTTTGTATTGTCCTTGATCTTGTTTCACCCATCCGAGCCAGTAATAGATGTATGCTTTATCACTGTCATCAGACGCTTGTTCTAGTAGTGCCATATACAACTCTTCGGCCTTGTTGAATTGACCAATTTTGAGCAGCAATGGACCCATTCGATACCATCCAGTGCAATCTGAAGATTCTTCTCGTATACGGTCAGTTAATTGACGAAGCTGTTGGTCATCATCCGACGTAAGTTTAAGATCCACTTCATAAAGTGGACTTTTCTTATCAATTTTTCGAACTTCACCGATTCGAAAGACGGTATGCATCGAGAAGAGAATTTCCTCTTCTTGTGCGAAATCACTAACCTCCTTGATGGAGGCAAAAGGAGTCGATGAGACCATGGGATCGATGGTTATTTGGAAGAGAACGCCAATCATTCCTTCTGTTCCTAAGGTATCTCTGGCGAAGCCGAGGGAAATATCACGATCTACACTGGTGGATAAAAAATTATTGAATGAAATGAGTCCACCTTTGCTTTTGACGAGTTTTTCGTGATCTACCTTTGGTAATCCCTGCCCGCGATAAACAAGAAATGTCTTACCATGATATTGACTGACTTGCTTGGCGTGTAAACTTTCAATTTGTCGATGAACATCACATAGATAAAATCCCATTCGGATGATAATGTCACCGTCAAGTGTTCGTAATGCTCGATTGAGCATTTTGTATGTAAAACATTGGCGTGTGTACCACCATAACGCCAATGTAGGATGATAATTA